TAGTAATCGTGTGCACAATTTATTTATTTTTTCTTGCATGTCATGTGCGGGGCTCCGTAATATCTTTGTTTTTTTCATACATCACATTTTTATTGACACTGTTGTCTCCCTGTTAAACAAGTATACTAACTTATTTAAAATGATTAAGGCCAAAATAGAGTGCAGTTGGGTTTCAGAAATAAAAATCCTCTAATTTTAAAATCCATTTCCTCTTTAGGGAAACTGTTTTTTTTTCACCAATACCTTAAAAACCTTTAAAGAGAGACAGATTGTGATTTTCAAGGTTGTTAATTGATGGTATATACTTTTGTTGAAGCCATCAGCCAGCATTATTTTAATAAGATTTAACAACAGAATGTAAAAAAAAAAAAAAAAAAAACATTGGTGGAAAAGATGGCAAAACTATGGAATGGTGTTCTGGTGGTGGTGTGTGAATGCTAGTATGAAACACAGAAGGCCACGGCAGTTTAACAGTTTCATGTGTGCAACTGGCTTATATCATTTATCACTTCATTCATAGATGGAGTTCTGGAAAAACCGCAGCATCTACACAGTGAACAGCAATGCTGATTCCCGCTCTGCTCGCCCGGACACCGTGTACATGGTGGTGCCCCTACTGGGCATGGCTCTTCTCATCATCATTGCACTCTTCCTCATCTGGCGCTGTCAACTGCAGAAGGCCACGCGCCGGCGTCCGGCCTACACCCAGAACCGCTATCTGGCTAACCGGAACGCCTGCAGCTTCCCGCGCATCTTGGTGCACCGCGACCCTCCCTCCCATTCAGAGAACTCTCACGCCAATGACAGGCCCAGCGTGGTGGTCAGCAGTGGCGAGAGGGGCGGGGCTTCAGTCACGCCGCAAGACGCCCATCATCACACCAGCCACTCTCAGAACAATCGCTCCCTGTATGTACAAGATTCGTCTTTGTCCGTGGCTTCCCACCTGTCCGGGGCGACCCCACCGCCATCCTACGAAGAAGTTACCGGCCACTTAGAGAGCAGCAGCGATGAGACGACAGCCCCCTACAGTGATCCTCCGCCCAAATATGAGGAGATAGTGCTAGAAAAGTGAGAGCCTTTATGAAAGAGGACTCATATAGCGGTAACCAAACGTTAGGGATGCACTGGTTCCCAAGCACTTATCCTAATGTGGCTCTCACTCTGAACAGAGTGTGCAGGCTATGTATGTGATGGTCTCCTTGTGTCGTTGATCGGTTCGTGGACTGCACTGGTAAACATGGTTGTTTTTCAAGTCGCAAAGGGTCCTCCTGCCTTCACACTCATGCAGCCTTCTCACCATCTCCGTGTACCTTTTCACTCCTCCTTCGACCTCTCACACCACTACCCACGGCTGCAGTGGCTGCCCTTCAGAAAGAAAATGTATAGAAGTGAAGAAAAGATATATCCCAAGTTGTGCGCTGCATGGTAATCGCATCAGGCATCAAGCTTCGGAGCCTGCTAGAAATCGAAAGGAGTGTTCATGCGGGAAAACAAGATGATGTGCCAAATCTAATTGGTGTATCGTAGAAATGTTCAGACACACTGAATATTTATAGTGTGTGCGTGCTGTCCTTTCTTGTGTTCATAAAGTCATGATTTCACAATTCCCTTACACCACGTAACACTAATTCCTGTGAAATCTTATACCAGCAGTATCTCTGATCCATGCCAACGTCCTTCTTAGAATTAGTAATACACACTTACTTGTAAACTGATGGGCACAGAACAAATGCGAAAAACAACATCCAAATCACATATCTGTAAAATTGAAGACCGTCGTGTGGAAAATGCACTCACAGGTATGCACACAATTCGATTGTTTACAGACACATACACAGAAATTTACATAGAATGTAATGCGTTTGTTTTGTGTTGAGCTAGGCCTTAGAAACATGTAAGAATAGTCAATCAAATCATGTGCTCAGCTGCTTGTGATTTTACGGTTATTGCGAGATTTTACCTCAAACGCTGTGCTCACACAATCACTCTCTCCCAAGACACAAATGCACAAAAACTCACACACACACACAAACACACACACACAAAAACTGTGTTTGGGGCCCAATCATTGGATAATACAACATTCCAGGCCCTCGATTTTCTTTTTTTGTTGTTCTCCCCGTTGTTCTCAGACTGTTTACAATGTGTTTTATTACTCTTTTTTAATAACAGCGTAAAAACTGTGTGAATTTGTACAAAGCTTTCTGTGGCTTTTGACATCACCAGGTGCTATACTGTACTATAATGCTGCTTGTTCTCACCTTGTTTGCCTCCTCATCACTATCTCTCTGTGTATACGGCTTATGCTCTAACTAGTCAACCAAACTGCCCATCTATTAAATGCGGCTGAATCATGTTTCCAGCTCAGGTTTAAGCCAATGAACTGCTGCCATTGTAGTAAATGCGTAAATAATCTCTCACACTGCCAACTTTTGAGTGACTGGGATATTCGACTTAAGGCGTGGTCACATTTACCAACGTTCGATGAATTTTTGCGTGCAAAATGAAGTTATTTGCACTTGAGGGCGTAAGATTGCCTTAGGCAGATTTCACAACGTTCACTCAAATTAGCCGTTTTGACCACACAATTTCGCGAATGTGACCAGACTTTAGCGTTGTGATGGGAATATTGCTGTATCAATCCAATATAAATGTAAAAGTGACATCGCAAGGCATCAGTGGGTTGTTGGGCAAAGCACTAAAACTAATGAAGCCTTAATATAATTGTGCTGAAATCACTGTATTATAAAATGCTAATGCAAAAAGGGTTAGAACTTTAACATGACCAAACGCTTTCATCCAAACAGTAGATCAAACGGATCGAGTATATATACAAGCACAGTATTTGAAAGATGCACTGGGGAAGTGGGGTTTGACCTTGCTTCTGCTCATTAAAAATGGAGGAATTGCAAACTGCTTACTTGGCTTGGGACTCTTACTCCAGCCGCAACAATCAATCCCACAATGCCCTGACAGGCTGTCTTTTGCGCTGATGGAGCACCCGGCTCAGTAGACGGCATTGATAACGGCTGGCACGTACTGCAGATCAGTTTCAGGCTTTGTTGCTGTTGAAAGACTGATAAGAGAATAGCATAGTCAACTCACTATAGCAGATGTTGAGCGTTAAGAGATGAGCTGGACTGCTGGTAGCTTCAGTGAGTTGTAAGTTATGGCTGAACGTCATAAAGCAACAGGTTTCTGTTGTAACAACATCATGTAAGAGGTAGCAAGAACTGATCATTTCAATTTCAAGTTTTTTTTATTTCAAGTTTATTTTAGGCCAAGAGAGAACTGTATGCGTGAAGAAATGTGTCGGAGAATATGTGTGTATATGTGTTTGTATCTATGCCTATTGCCAGCACTCATGTTCCTGTCTAGCGTTTGTGCAAGTAAGAATGTGCCACAGAAGCCACAGGCTTTGTTTATATGCTAAATATATGTTATATCCTAAACCAAAACGTGATACATCATTGTTGTTCTTCAAGCCAAATCGCATGATTTTTTTCATCATTCATGATATGATTTTTTGTTTTACATTTATATATATTTTTCCACCGTGGCTCTTAATTATCTTAGATCTGTTTGTGCTGGTTACAACAATTTTGCATTTAAATGTAAACACATTTTATGAACATAAGCACTGGTATTGAAATTCATAATTATGACAGAATTGTACATTTGTGTATGTCTTGTATCAAATTTCCTTCGTTTTAGACATCATGGTAATTTCTATACCAAATGGATGTAATATACTCAAATATCCATTTAGTGTGAATATACATTGCATATAATCAGTCGCACATGAAAGTCAGTTGCGTAAATAGTAAACTGATGCATGAATCCAGTTTTATTTTTTATTATTTTACTTTGCTTTAGAAATATTTCTTCATATTTAAACTTGAATATAATTAGGAAACAAAATGAACATCTCTGTGAGCTCAGTTTTATTCATGTTGAGCGCTTTGTGTTTTGCCGCACAGACTTGTTAACAGCATTAACTATCAATGAAGTATGTATCTCACCCAAAGTAAATGATCGCTAATTGCTCTTTAGTGCTTTTAATTAGGCTTTAATTGTGTTTAATAGACCATTGACTTTAAAAACAGCCAGAAGTCTTTAGTCTTCCATAACAAATCTATATAGCTTTTCTTTAAAGATTTGTCACACATGTATCTTAACAGAGCTTCCAATGAGATTGATATGTTTTGAAAAATGATGTTGTTCCTGTTCTTTCACAAACATCATATATGAATAATTTCATTCAATTTAAATGTACAGTACATATCATATCTGCTTAATGGAAGAGTTGTGATTAGAGAACTTATTTTAGTATCACTGACGTACTATTATAGTTTGTGTTCATATTTTAAATTAGTTTTCGATTTTTATTTTCCATTTTAATAATTTTGTGTTTTTGTCTTTATATGTCTGCTAATGTCTGCGTAGTTTTATAGTACATTCTGTATAGGCTTTAGTATGGTTTATTTCATTTTAGTGCATTAAGTCAACAAGCCTGTTAGAAAAACTCTACACGTTTACATTTTGCTCAAAAATTTGGATTTATGGACACAGTTTATATTCAAAACATCTGTATTTGTTAAATAAAGGGAGATAAAACAACATTTCACATGTATGTTACTTCTGAGACATGTCTTGCTTTCCCTGAGATCACACTGTTAATTGAAAGTGCCAATTTCCTTTTTGTGAAAACACTGATGTTCTTGGATAATAGTTTATTAAAGAACGAAAACGCTCTATATAGCCTATGTCTGAAAAAAAAAAATTTTTCATGAATTTTCAAAGCAGATGTCCCAAACTCGCAATTCTTTCTTTTTCTCTTTTTTTTGTATAGAGCTGTCACAGGAACAGGATATATTAAGTAAATTGCCATATTTAGACGTTATATTTTATGCTTAGCATTTTAAAAAGTCGCAATAGCTTCTAAGACTCCATTTACAATAGCTTTACTATTTGTTATCTTCAGCAGCGAGACAGCACGTGTATGCGCCGCCCACTTTTGCTCGCGGTCACATGACGTCACGTACGTCAGTCGACGTGAACTGCGTGAAGGTGGGTTGAACGGCTTGGTTGAAGTTTAAAGAAGTGTTTTTATTAAGCCCAAACACTTAAACGCTCTGTTTGCTATTGTATCGCTAGTAGATATTCATAAGTCTGAGTGGGAAAACGAAACCAAACCGCTTAGTCCAAGCCGTGGACATTACCATGTAACGTTAACGTTATGAGTTGATAAATTTAGCCCCGCGAGCTGTAATCAACAGGTAGACGTTCAACAGTAACAGCTGCTGTCTAGAAATGTTAAACTGCTTAGTCGAGAATGGACGTCTATCTAGGAGACTGTAGGTCATGAAGGAACTATCTTGATGGCTGACCTCTAACGTTATCTGAACACACATGGGTCAATGACCGCTCACTTTGAATATATTACAAGCAGCAGTTATCTTGAGCATTTGCTGCTACATTATGGTTCTTTAAAATAATGACTTACCAATTTTGTACTCTATTTCAGTCCGTGTGTTTGTTTCGCTCACGTAACGCAGCTTAACATTTGATGCTGTGCCAAGCGGTCAGTCTAATTCCCTTTACTGGCTTTAGGCTAGTTATGGCATCTCCAGGGTATTTTGGTGATGGTCCTCCGATGCGCGAGCGTGACCCCTACTTCACTGAGGTCATCAGCCAGAGGATGCGCGTGCCTGAGCGGCTGAGGGTCGGTCCAGCGCCACATGAGCCTGCAGAGCAAAGACATGAAGAGCTACCTGCTGCCTACAGCATGCACATCCCAGACAGACTGGCCTTAACAGGTAGACTGCATATTGCTCATAGTTCAGAATATCTATGTTCAGTAATGGGTTACAGGTCAGATATGTGACCCCGGACCCTCATAAGTAGCACAGGTATATTTGTAGCAATAGCCAATACATTGCGTGGGTCAAAATGATCGATTTTTCTTTTATGCCAAAGGTCATTAGGATATTAAGTAAAGATCATGTTCCATGAAGATATTTTGTAAATATTTTCTAGCGTAAATACCAAAACGCAATTTTTGATTAGTAATATGCATTGCTAAGAACTTCATGTGGACAACTTTAAAGGCGATTTTCTCAATATTTAGATTTTTTTTTTTGCGCCCTCAGATTCCAGATGTTCAAATAGTTCTATCTCAGCCAAATATTATCCTAACAAACCATACATCAATGGAAAGCTTATTTATTCAGCTTTCAGATATATATCAGAAGTATAAATCTCAATTTCAAAAAATGTACCCTTATGACTGGTTTTGTGGTCCAGGATCACATATATATGAATGTGTAGTTGATGTATTTGATCAAAAATACAGTAAAAACTGTTATGTGAAATTAAAGGGGTCATATGATGCTGCTAAAAAGAACATTATTTTGTGTATTTGGTGTAATGAAATGTGTTTATGTGGTTTAAAGTTCAAAAAACACATTATTTTCCACATACTGTACAACAACGAAACACAGCTCTTCACGACATGGCGGCGGCAACAACAATACTACAGCGAGAATAAAAGTACTTGCAAATCTTCCCACATCGTGACGTAGACATGTGGGGGCGTGTTAGAACGAGACGTTTTAGGTAGGTGTGGCTGGCTCTTAACTTTTATAAAGAATATCTCTTTGGATTTGAGACTTTAGTCTTTGCAACTTTACAGATCTTATTTATGCACCAAGAGCTTGTAACACTCCAAAGAGAAAGGAAAACTTGAAATCGCATCATATGACCCCTTTAAAGACATTTATGACATTAAAAAAAGATTTCTATATGAAATAAATGTTGTTCATTGAACTATCTATTCGTCAATTAATCCTGAAAAAAGTATCACAGTTTCCACAAAAATATTAAAAAGCAGGAACTCTTTTCAACATTGATGATGATAATAATAAGAACCATTATTAATAACCAATGAAATCAGCATATTAGAATGATTTATTAGAAAGATCATATGACATTGAAGACTGGAGTAATGGCTGTTAAAAATTCAGCTTTGCCATCACAGGAATAAATTACATTTGAAAATATATTATAATGGACAACTCTTAAATTGTACTAATATTACTGCTATCATTGTGTTTTTGGTCAAATAAATGCAAGATTCGTGAGCATAAGTTACTTCTTTCAAAAACATAATAATAATAATTATGATTAGTGTATATTTTTCCAAAATGTGTCCTCTTAAATCTTTTTCAACAGATGCTCCTGATTTGAGTCCACGACCTCTCTTCACTAAACACACTTCATCAATGTGGGACCTGCAGCATGGGTCCTGGGACAGGGAGGCGTTCATGAGAGAGCCTGTCCAGGTATTCTCACATAGCCAAACCCTTGACTAGATGGCAAAAGGGAGATAAATTGGGGCGTGAAGTGTCCAATCACAATTTGTTTTGTTTTAATGTGACGTGTTGAAAAAAGTTTATATTATATTAATAATAGAATGGTGTAAAAAAAGTTGTTGGATAACTTGAGCCATTTAAAAATATATATAAATGTCAGTGAGGGTCATAAATGGGTTCATTCCAGTTCATGATATTGCTTGTAATTAGGGCTGTGAATCTTTGGGTAGACAGCAATTCGATTCACGATTCATAGGTTTTCGATTCGATTCAAGAACGATTTTTTTGCAAATTCACAAAGATTCGATTCGATTCGATTAACGATTTGATTCTGCATTCTTTAAGTGCATTCACAGGATTATTTAAATGCTTCCCCTAAATTCTTTAAATGCTTAGTCAGGGGGCAAATTACACAGAAGCCTTTATCCCATGCATTTATCCCATCCAAAGTGCACACACACAGCAGTGAACACACACCGCGAACACACACCCATTGAACACAGCCATTTTTTTGCTGCGGTGCCCGGGGAGCAGTTGGGGGTTCGGTGCCTTGCTCAAGGGCACCTCAGTCGTGGTATTGAAGGTGGGAGAGAGCGCTTTACATTCACTCCCCCCACCTACAATCCCTGCTGGTACGAGACTCGAACCCACAACCTTTGGGTTACGAGTCCGACTCTCTTCCCCAAAATAAATGCAGCCTTCGACTGCTCAGGTAATGTCATCGTCGGTATGACCGAGAGCCATTGGAAAAACTACAGAAAAGCAAAACTACTTCACTTTAGCCTTACTGGCCTCGAGTACTCAGGATCACAGAGATCACACATCAGCTGCTCAAAAAATGTGTCAGTGAGACGAACGGAGTGCGAGCGCAATCCTGTGACAGTCACAGGTGGTAAATAGTGGAGAGCGTGAAAGGAGAGATGAGAGGCACGATCACTGTTCAAGGTCTCCATTAATTCCTGCTTGTAATAATTTAATGTGTACCTATATATTTTGAAAGCATTGAATCGCTATAGAAATCGCGATTCATTCGATTCTTAGCGTTTTAAATCGATTACTGTGCGAAATCAACGATTAAAAAATCCATGTTTCAAGATCGATGCATTGCATCGTCAGGGTTTGTAATCGATGCATCGAGAAACCGAGTGAATCGTTACACCCCTGCTTGTAATGTGTCACAGAGTCCACTGCGAAGGTCTTACAGTGACCAGGCCTGTGGTCGAACCCCACCTGGAACCCCCACACACTCCAGACAAACACTCCACTCCCAGTCTCCGTAAGTCCAGTTCACTGTTTACTAGTTTACTTAGCACTCTGTGGGAATCCTATTATTATAGCGTTATAATGCTCTGTCATATACAAATATACGAAGAAGCTGACAAATATTATTGACCAGAATGAAAGTACACATGTTAATACATTAATCATGATTAATCGCATCCAAAATAAAAGTTTTTGTTTACATAATATATGTATACTGTGTCGATTTATTATTTATATATAAATACAAACACATGCATGTATATATTTAAGAAAAATATGTTATGTTTATATATTAAATATATTTATATATAATAAAAAAATATAAGAATATGAATATATAAATGTATAAACATGTAAATATTTTCAAAATATATACCATATGTGTGTGTATTTATATATACATATTAAATATACACAGTACACATATTATGTAAACAAAAACTTTTATTGTGGATTCAATTAATCGTGATGATTTTAAATTTTTTATTTTTTTACTGTAATGGCAAAGCTGAGTTCTCAGCAGTTATTACTACCACATGAACCTTTAGAAATCATTCTGATTTATTATTTTTTTTGTTTTCAGTTATTATTAATAATTCAGTATTATCGGTGTTAATTTTTTTCATAATTTTTTGCAGGATTCGTTTCTGTTTTGTAACATAAATGTAAAATATAAATGTCTTTATATTTTATTTGAAAATGTAAAGAGGAGAGTATTTTGCATAGTACATTTTTCAATATGTATATTGGTGTATATCCTTAAAACATATTTTGTATTACATGAATACAGTGTTCATAATATAGTCATTTACATAGTCTTTTATTCTCAACATCAAGGTTCTAAGTTAAATTGTATAAGCAAAAGTATATATCCTGTAACAGGGTAAAAGTTTTTAATCACAATTTTAAACTTTTCTAGTTCATTTTTAAATGGTCCAGGTGTGACCGATAAAAAAGTACAACATGGCTTATAAAAGTGGCATGATTGTAAAGAACTAGCAAATGTTGTTTTAAATTTAGATTTAAACAACTTTCTAAATGTATTTCATTGTCATCAACCCTAATACAAAATTTTCCTGATATTTTCCCAGAGAATTACTGCAGTATGTATCCATTTCATAGCCTTTACATACATGTCTCACTACCACCAAACTGCCTCTAGAGGGCAGGAGAGGTTGATTGTTGCATTTGGTCAGTTCACCTCACCTTCTGTGCTAAATGAGAAGCTTATTTACCAGACTCATTTATCTGATGAGACATTTATTTAAACAAACCCGTTCAAATGAAGCATGTCAGGTTTGTGGGATACAGCTAGTGTCAGTCTTTAAATAACAGCGGTGCTCCTCTATGTCCGTACTCTCCCTTCCCTGTCCGCAATAGCCGCAGTATTGGACGCCCACCTGTCGTGCATACAGACCCGTCCCCACCAAAGCCCCCAGGACTCCCCTCCATCCCACCCAACCTGCTGTCCCCACAGAGCATGCTGCAGGCCGCCAAGGAGCTGGGCCAGCAGGCATCTCAGAAACTCCTCCAGACCGTCACCAAAATATACTCCTCCAGGTGACACGGACCCTCATCCTTCATGCCCTGCCTGTCCACTTCCTGCGGTTGTGGGCTCTAACTAACCTGGGATATTCAGCTGTTTGCTCTGACCTTTGAATCCCTGTTGTTTGGTTTGGTTGTTTCTGATGGAACTGCCTCAGACTAGGCTTCCTGTCAGGATCCTAGAGTTGGTGCACCTTTCATGCCTGCAAATTCACATCAGAGCTTTGGGCTTTGATTGAATTCACTGCTATTGCTTTACCTGAGCAACTAACAAGCACCTTAAGCATTCTAAAACTGAGCTTTGAGCTTTTAGTTCCCCCCTTCTCATTTTGAATTGAATCGTTCACGAAATCATGTTCATTGTGGACTGCTGTGGTTCCTGGTGTCTCTCTTGTGTTTTAAGGTTTGGTTACCCAGAAAACCATCCCTCTCAGGCTGTGGAGGTTCAACCTGATCAAAGCAGGACAAGGTGACAGTGGCTCATGCAATTTCCATGTATACAATAATGGAATGCTGCTGAGCAAGCAAACACTTCCTGTTTAGTTGTTTATGTAGGTTTTTTTATCATAACAGATTGTGTTGGAAGCCCGTTGAATGAAGTAAATCAGTCAGTGATGTAAGGGAGGGCGTTATGTACGTTTCAGTGGAAAGATGTTGAAGTTTTTGTTAACATCTATTTTTGTCTCACAGTGCCTCGCAGGAGTTCTGGCTCGGTCCTGAAGAGGACACAGGTGCTGCTGTCGAGTTCATGGTGCTCCGCAGACAGGTGAGTGCTTGAAGTTCAGATTTCACTGAGAAACAATGCACTCATCCATGCTCAGTTTTGTTCAGTTGTGCAATTTTGTATGTCATGCATACAGAAGTTTGTATACACATAACACAGCATATACAACGTTTTTACATGTAGTTTGTATGAATACAATGTGTATAATACAGTACTCTACAAATCTGTAGTTGACAATGTTACATGGACTAATTGTTGCGTATATACAGTATGTGACTCTGGACCACAAAACCAGTCTTAAGTCACTTGGGTATATTTTTAGCAATAGCCAAAAAAACATTGTATGTGTCAAAATTATCAATTTTTCTTTTATGCCAACAATCATTAGGATATTAAGTAAAGATCATGTTCCATGAAGATATTTTGTAAATTTCCTACTGTAAATATATAAAAACTTCATTTTTGATTAGTAATATGCATTGCTAAGAACTTCATTTGGACAACTTTAAAGGTGATTTTCACTTCTTTTTTTTTGCACCCTCAGATTCCAGATTTTCAAATAGTTGTATCTCAGCCAAATATTGTCCTATCCTAACAAACCATACATCAGTGGAAAGCTTATTTATTCAGCTGATGTATAGGGTTCAGATTATGTATAAATCTCAATTTAAGAATTTTTTACCCTTATGACTGGTTTTGTGGTCCAGGGTCACATATGTTTTTTAAAAATCAAAAACTAAAATATTGACCACTATTAATTGACCTGGTGATATTTCTGTCTGTCTAGTCATTTAGCTTTTGGTCAACAATGATTTTCTTAGTCGGGAGTTTATAATGTTGCCAAATTATTATTAGAATCATGTTTGGTAAAAAAAAAAAGAAAAAAAAAAGACACAACCAAAGGCCAGAAAAACAAATGTACAATATGAGGAGTATAGTCCAATTTACAAGAAAATAAACTGGATATTTTTTCCCCTTAAAATATTGGTGAATTGGCTTTTTGTGTAACTTTATCTCTCTGTCTATATATATATATATATATACAGTGGTGTGAAAAAGTGTTGGCCCCCTTCCTGATTTTTTTGCATGTTTTTCACACTTTAATGTTTCAGATCATCAAACAAATTTAGGGGGGGGGGCAACACTTTTTCACACCACTGTATATGTAATCAAACTGGTATATAGCAATATAGCACATTAAATTGATCAAAAGTGACAGTAAAGACGTACAGTTATACAAAAAAAGTTTTTCAGTTTTGATAAGAACCATTGTTCATAATTGAGCAGCAAATCAGCATATTAGAATGATTTCTGAAGGACCATGTGACACTGAAGACTGATGTTGAAAATTCAGCTTTGCAGTCACAGGAATAAATGGCATTTTAAAATATATTTAAATAGAAAACATTGTTTAAATTGTTATAATATTTCACAATGTACTGTTTTACTGTATTTTTGAACAAATAAATGCAGATTTCCTTTAAAAATATATTTGAAAAAATCTTACAAACCCTAAACCTCTTAACAGCATGCAGTATATTAGTATGTATAGTGTGGATGACATTGATTGTTCCTTTGATTTCAGGTGGTGAAGATGAGCAGGAGGATAGCAGGGCTGGAGAGACAGAACGCAGAGCACAGACAGACAGAGCTGGTGCTGTTCTCTATGTTACTGTCTGCCTGTCTGATCAACGGCTGGCTGTGGATGCGCAGATGACGGCTCACACTCCACAACACTGCACTATACAGACAGCACTACAAGAGCAGCGGAGCTGTTTACTGGGAAGTACAGTACTGCACATATTTCTATAGAGATTTACGAAATTTGTTCTAAAAAATGATGGTCAATGGATGGTTTAGAAACCACTTCTATAGAAGACTCTGAACCTAGACTCGGATGTGTCACATGATCACGGTAGTGACATGGGCCACTTTGCGTTACAAGTGATTTGAGGAACTCAAGCATGTTTTTCTCCTCGTGAGAGTTTCACTGATGATGTCATTCAGTAATGCAGTCCCTCTGGCTCTTTTGATCAGACTAGTAGCTAGTATTTTGGATTTGATTTATTCTGCAAATTAAGTAAATGCCGAGATTTTCTGCATGCTTTATTATGAAAGTATAAATATGAATGTTTACTGGTGCATCTCAGTAAATTAGAATGTTCAACTCAAATTGTGAAACTCGTGTATTAAATAAATTCAATGCACACAGACTGAAGTAGTTTAAGTCTTTGGTTCTTTTAATTGTGATGATTTTGGAGTGGCTCTTGACCCCAGCCTCAGTCCATTCCTTATGAAGCTCACTCAAATTCTTGAATCGATTTTGCTTGACAATCCTCATAAGGCTGCGGTTCTCTCGGTTGGTTGTGCATCTTTTTCTTCCACACTTTTTCCTTCCACTCAACTTTCTGTTAACATGCTTGGATACAGCACTCTGTGAACAGCCAGCTTCTTTGGCAATGAATGTTTGTGGCTTACCCTCCTTGTGAAGGGTGTCAATGATTGTCTTCTGGACAACTGTCAGATCAGCAGTCTTCCCCATGATTGTGTAGCCTAGTGAACCAAACTGAGAGACCATTTTGAAGGCTCACCTTTGCAGGTGTTTTGAGTTGATTAGCTGATTGGCACGTCACCATATTCTAATTTGTTGAGATGAATGGTGAATCCACCAGTGAATCGGTGGGTTTTTGTTAAATGTGAGCCAAAATCATCACAATTAAAAGAACCAAAGACTTAAACTACTTCAGTCTGTGTGCATTGAATTTATTTAATACACGAGTTTCACAATTTGAGTTGATTTACTGAAATAAAGGAACTTTTCCACGACATTCTAGTATATTTCCTTTTTTTCTTCCTGTTAGGCATTTGAATAGCCTTCATCCTTTTTAACTCATTTCCCCAGCCTGATGTATGATGAATATTTAAAATAATAAAAATTGTAATTAGTCTCAGATATCTCTCAATGTCAACATTAAATTAGCAAAATTTGCATTCACATGATGCCTGACAAAGAACAACTAAACACTGCAAATGGATCCGTTTATTAAAAAATTAAATTAACCAAGGAAAAAGTTATTGAAACCCTTTAGACTATAAACCAAATTAAAACTGCAAAGCCTTATACAAAATCTGCATGAAATAAGATGGGAAATAATGAACAGGAATACAATTTAATTCAAATTAATCATCATTGTACAGTAATAACATTGTCAAGCAGCAACTAGAGTGACATTTTGTAAAGAAACAAATACTAGTGAAATGAACGTAAAAACATTGATTGGGACACAAGGGTACATACTATACAAAATAATACAAAAACACATTCTCGTAATTCGTCCTGAGATGGACCGACACATTCTTCTTTACAAACTATGAAGTATCAAATGTAGCAAGACCATCAAGATTAGTTTAGATAACAAGACTGAGGCTTCAGGTGGAACAAACTGATAAACGTGGTAATGAAATGTTGACTTGCTTGACCAGATTAGCCTCAAAATCACTGACCAGTACAGTTAAACTTTAACTGCATGTAGACCAATTTAAAGCATTACAATAGGGACCGGTTCAGTTTGCATTCAGGGAACTGTATTTGAAATGTAATGCGCTTGTTTATCAGTATTTTGTACCACCTTTGTCTCAGTCCACTTTGGTCCATTGTCTTTGTCATTGCCCAAATTAGATTAGTGCTCTTCAAACTTGCTGAAACTGTCCGAAATACACAGCTGTTGAGCATTGACAATGGGTGACCTAACAATTTCAGATCTTATCTAAAAAAGAAAGACAGGAAGGAAGAAAAAAGAACTAGTTTCTATCTCTCGAGTGAATGAGAAAAGACCGATTGTGTACAAAATGTCAAGTACCGACGCACACAATGTGCTTAACTGAGACTGTGCTCAAATACTTGATTACTTGCAAATGAATTTGGTCCAAGTTTCCAAAAAAGAAATAAAATGTTATGAAATAAAATATTTAAATATATTTTTACTTTTAGAATTGTATATGGTTGTCTCTTAACCAAAAACTGAACTATAACTATGAAACTGCTATGTTGGATATTTCTTTAGCCCTGTATTTTTGAAATCATCATATAATGGCTCCACATTAGTCACATGGCATTTAGGGCTCAGATGATTGGCTCAAAACAAGACATTTCCTGCACCAGCTGACCCCTTAAAGGTATAGTTCACCCAAAAATGAAAATCCTGTCATTAATTAATCATCCTCATGTCGTTCCAAACCCGTAAGGCCTCCGTTCATCTTCGGAACACAAATTAAGATATTTTTGATGAATTCTGAGAGCTCTCTGACCCTCCCATAGACAGCAATGTAATTACCACGATCAAGTTCCAGAAACGTAGCAAGGAGATCGGTAAAATAATCCATGTGACATCAGGGGGTCAACCGTAATTTTGCGAAGCTACGAGAATACTTTTTGTATGCAAAGAAAACAAAAATAACTACTTTATTCAACAATTTGTCTCCTCCAAAATGACCCTGGTGCCATTTTGGAGAGTCTCCACTGAACGTAAACAGCGTATGCTATTCTGTGTCAGCTGCGTCACGCAGATACATTGTTTTCATTCAAATCAAAGCGTAAACAACGTAGAAAATGTATCCGCATGGCACAGCTGACAGAATTTTTGGGTGAACTAACCCTTTAAGAGGAATGGATTTTATACTGCAATGATTTGTGTGTCCTACAGGGGGCAAAATTTGATTAGTGCTAACCAAGTTTAACCATTCAAAAGTTTAGGGCTAGTAAGATTTTAATTTTTTTTTACTTTTATCTAGCAGAAAATGTAGTAGGATCTTATTAATATTCAGAAAATATACAAAAGAAATATTAAGCAGCACAACTGTGTTCAACATTTCTATAAAAAATATTTTTTAAGGACCAAATCAACCAATTAGAATAATTTCTGAAGGATCATGTGATGGCTGGTGAGAATTCAGCTTTGCCATCCCAAGATTAAACTACATAAAATATATTCAAATAGAAAGCAGTTATTTTAAATTTTGATGAAATATATGTAGACTTAATGAGCATAAAAGATTTAAAAACAAACAAACAAAAAAATCTTACTGACCCCAAACTTTTAAATGGTATTGTAAATATTAATACAAAATACTAAAATTGTGAACATCTAGAATCATTCATGTGAAGTTGAGTTCTTTGACATGATGACCTGCTTTAAAAAACTTGCGGTTGAAAGTTTATTAATTCTGAAATGACAAAAACGCCAGTTAACACACTGCAAGACATCATATTTGTGTATAAGCACCTGAGAAACACGAGCGAATTCACAAATAAATCAGCTCAATGTGGTTGTAACATCTGCTAGGGAACGTTTTAGAAAAGTGGTTCAGATGAGCAAACACTCGAAATGTGACACGTTCCAGATGAAAACAGACATATCGAACAGACGTCACATTGATGTGCGTAAGCGTCAGAGACTGAGCATCGAGCAGAAAATCACTTACAATTTAGATCCAGAGGTCGTTCTGAAGAAGTTATGAAACCTTTAAAGCACATGACAAAATAATAAAAGCATTGAAATCAGATGGTTTCATAGATATTTACTGATTTCATGGTAGAATCTCATTTACACATCCATGTAATCTTGAATTACGTTAGACCCTCGAAATAATATGAGGATCGTTGCTTGGCCCTGCTTTAAAACATTTGTGTATAATTATTATTATTTTTTTTACGGATTCCTTTGGTCAAGAGCTAATTGTCTGTCTTGCAACCACGAGACTGGAAAAAAGCTCATTTGTTATCTACAAAACAAAACGATGACTTAAAAGTAACCATCACATTGAAACGAGAGGTTTGGAGGCTTTCCAAACTGTGAAAGGCCAGACCTGGAAATCCGGGACCCCTGGCTACCACCACGCGCTAAATGTGGATACCTCTCACTCAAGGCATGTTGTGACTGCTGTAGCTCTACTGGAATGATGGACCTCCGTTCTGATTGGAAAACTACAGACTCTCACACAGACAAACCCAAAACCAGTTGGGTCACTCATACTTTCACATACGAATACATGAGCTTGTGGACACAGGTAAACGCTTGTTGGTCCATTGCTCTTAAACAGTGCACGGTGAACCGTACAGTATGAGCTGTACAGACAATGCGTCCTAGATTACAAAAGGCCCTACGACATTCATTATTTACACGTAACAACTGTTCGGCTAGTCACCATATCGCTTGATACTCAAGTGCCACATTTTTATTATTAGTACATATACACAACAAAACAATTGCATACCCCCCCCCCAAAAAAAATATGTAAAAACAAACACAAAGTAGTGCAATAAATGTAACAAAATGATGCCAATATATTTGGTCTGAGGGTCTGGAGGTGAAAAAAGACCACCAGACAATACTGTACAAAAAAGTGTTGATTGTAAATGACGTTGTATATTGTTGTTTGCAGATTTGAATGCATTCCTAAGCATCCTGACAATCTTGATCTGAGAGTAACGGAGGGAAGAGAAGTGCACGGATTCCTTCACCTGCTTAGAGTTGTTTCTTTATCGATGTGTGTGTGATCAGATGAGTATCTCCACCATCTCGCTGTCCATGTCCTGCGCTGGGAGTGGAGGCGGCGGCAGGCTCTGCTGCGGGAGCGACTGCACTGGCCCTCTCCTCTCTAATGTACTGCTGTGAAACACTGGCACATCTGTAGAGACAAAGAAACATGCAGATGTTTAGGGTCACGTTAAGGTAAAAAGAGTGTCTTAAAAGGAAAAATCTTTTAAAAAGCTGCTTTAAAACAAGCCATGTTCTAAGTAATGTACTCTTTGTATTCAAGTTGAAGAGTTCATTTGCAAAAACCGATAACTCCATTTTTATTTATTTTCAGAAATCACGTTTTTTTATTGCGCATTCCAAGTAATATCAATCAAACTGCAGTTGGGTTGTTTTGGTTAAGTAATAACTTAAACAAATACATTTACTTAACAAATACAGGTAATTTACCAAATTAAAGTTCATTGAAAGTATGTTTTTTTTTTTACATATTAAAGTTTGTTTTATAGCAAAAGCAGATAACTCCACATTTCATGTTTTAGAGTTTAAAAAAAACTCTCGTTTAATCTTTATAATCTCCTCAGATGACAATGTAGATGCCTGACAAACGTTGTTGGTGTTGTGATCATGAACTGTATGGATGTGATTATAAACGGAGCTTTTCCCTCACCATTGTAACGCGCTGCTTTTGCAAGGTTCCGTGAAAACGTTTCAGCTTTTATTTTCCTTTTTCGCCCTGAAGATATCACAGGTTCATCAAGTTCGTCGAAATTATCTATCCTCGATCACTTAGTCAGCTGAAACTCCTCTCAGCTAGCATGTCTTTTCATAGTGAAAGTAGCCTTGTCACCTGACCTGAATACAGCGCGCTGATTTGCTAAAATGGACTTGTCGGCTTCTGCAGTAAAATCTGAACTCACTTAGTCAGCTGAAACTCCTCTCAGCTAGCATGTCTTTTCATAGTGAAAGTAGCCTTGTCACCTGACCTGAATACAGCGCGCTGATTTGCTAAAATGGACTTGTCGGCTTCTGCAGTAAAATCTGAACTCGCGATGCCTTGAAAGTTGAAAGTGGACAAAACCGGCTTTTTTGACAAAACGTGTTTAGGGTTCAGATCGCGCTATATGTGGAGAATAATGCACAGCAATCAGCTCATTTTTTGGAAAGTGCCGTTTATCAGTTTTTGCAAATTAACTCTTCAGTTGGTTTCATATGGTTTGAAAAAAAATTTAAATAATGACTCAAAATGTCATGTGATGTAAATTAATTTTCCTTGAATACATGTGAGTGCACGCGCGCACACACACACACACACACACATATTAACACTTTTATCCAGAGCGACTTACAAATAAGGACAACAGAAGCAATAAAAAAAATTTAAAAAGCAATAATATGTAAGTGCTGTGATAAGTTTCGGTTAGTCTAACTCAGTAAACTTAGCAAGGTTTTTTTATAATAAATAAAAAGAAAACAAGTAGATGGAATAGAGAATGCAGTGTTATAGGGTCATTTTTTTAAATAAATAAAGTTGAAGGAATAGAAAAAGAATAGAGAATGCTAGCAGCATTAGAGGGTCATTTTTATAATAAATAAAAATAAAACAAGTAGTTAGAATAGAAATAGAATAGAGAGTGCAAGTGTTAGAGGTTCAAGTTTCTTTTATTAATAAAAAGAAAACATGTAGATAAAATATATAAGTAAATAAATATATTACAGACTATAACCTGAAATATATATATATATTTTAGGTTAAAAAGAATTTTACACATCTATTAATTCATAAATATTATGAAGTTACACTACATGACTTTTCCAACCAACCAGTGACGCCTTGTTATAAAAGGTAAAATTATCCAACATTTTAAGATTTATATTTGTATCACAATTTTCCTATTTTCCCTTGCATGTTGATGCAGAAAGTACTTCTTTTAAATATTTATGATATTCTAACAAAACCGCTTCTGTCCATTTATTAAATAATTCAAATAAAATATTAAATAATTCAAATAGATTATGCCAAACTACAGAATTTTCTTTTCAATAATTGTTTTTTTTCAGGATAGTTACATGAGCCTAATATATATTTTTTTACTTTATGAAGTAGAAGTGTATTCAAGTTATTGTATGTACGAATTGCATTTTTGTTGAATAAATTATTACATCTATTATGAGATGTTATATAACACAATCATGTGATTGACAATTTTATAAAATTTTCTTTTCTATTGTGCTGTTCCTATCAATTAGCACTCAACTAGTCATTAGTGGTTTCTGGGTTAGTTTATCATTATAAATGCACAACCTGAAGAAAACACTAGTTTATTATGGCTAATATGTGATTTTGTGTGTGTGCTGTACCAGCGATGCGGTCGGGTATGTAAACTGGGCTCGGGCTGCTGATCCGGCTCGGTCCGGATACGCTCTGCAGGGCAGGTGTGCTCGGCTTGCTGGCCTCCTGACCCTTTTCCGTCTGGGTGTAGCTGTCTCTGCTGCTGGTCTTTGAGTGTGTGGCGGCTGGCAGGACTGGAGATGGAGAGGAGGAGATGGACTCTGTTCTCAGAGAGTCACCTCTGAACTCTGGGCCGAGTAGAACACCTGGAACATGAAGAGCGTGAACAATTCAGATGTGAGTGGATAAAAGACATACATTAATGCATTATAAATACATTGTACTATATTATGGCTGCAAATAGAGT